CAGCGTCCCTTTAGGACAAAACATTTTTTTCCTAAGAAAATTTACACACATCCGTCCATACAATCTCCTGCCATCATACCAAATATCACATTATTTATCAAAAGCCAAAGAATACAATAAAACCCATATCAGAGCCCAGGAGCCACTACTGCTACTCCATGCTAACCGTATACATGTTTCGTGAACAGAAGATCATGTTTTCAAAGTTTTATTAAAAACGGAGGACGGGAAATCATATAAACCCAATATACAAATTTTCGGAAAACACTTAGCCCAGAAACTAAATGATCTTTCTCCCACATCAAAACGTTAAACCAAACGTTCACATATTACACTCGCGAGAATATAACACTCATTTGAACTCGTAACAACCTTTTAAACTCGTAGGGGTTCAAGACAGCCTGCCCTATGCTATACTACAACATAACACAGTTTTCAACTCGTAACACGTTTTTAAACTCGTACGAGTTCAAAACAGCCTCCCCTATACTATATTAGCTATCCTACCTATACTATTTTTGCATTTAAACGATTTTACAAATGCACACTCGAGTCCATTTGATTTGAAATAAAAAATTATTACAGCAAAACACTTTTGATGATTATTACAGTTCAGATTCTCAATTGACACACAGTAGCTGATTTTTCCTCCGGTACGTTGGTAGATCAATGAATGGAAACGAACCAGTCCTCTTCTGAAACGACTGAAGATATCAGTTAAGAGAATGTTGGCATTAAAATTCTGTTGAAATATTGGCATGAATTTATTTAGTTCGACTTTACTTCTGTAATTCGTATCAAATATTTCTTCTTCAGTAAACATTTTTTCTAAAGTCAAAATCTCGTTCTTGATTACACTTCTTTGAACTAGATAATGACTGAAAATATTTCTTCCAATTTTAACAGTACTATTCTTTCTTAAACTTTTGATATATCCAAGAAAGCTTTCTTCAAAGAAACAGCTGTGTGTGTACAATGTACCACTGTTTCTGACTTGGTCGGGGAAATATTTGAGCAAATGATTAGTGTATAGATCAAAATCGGGACCGTATACCAACGAAATCTCTTTTCTGTATTGATTTAGGAGTTCATCTGCATCATCAATGTGTGAAGGATCTTCGTAGAAATGCAAGATTCTATGAGAGAAAAATCCAAAAAAGATGTAACGAGAATTACAAAAACAGCTCTAGTCACTAACCTGGTTGAAATAAAAAATAAAACATACTGATTTGCGATTATTGCCGGTAACAGTTTCACTACCATTGGCATTGAAATGTACAATAAAAAAAATTTCGATTCTTTCGATTTCCACCAGTCGTAATCAGAAAATGGTTTCAATGTAACTTTAGTATCATGAGGTGCTAATATGTTCAAGACGAAATCAGTCATTGCTGTTGCTGTTGGTGATTTCACATGCGACAACCATTTTCTCAATAAATGGCCAATGTGGCCAGAACTGCCACATACTGCGTGCATGTAGTCAAATAATGCTGATTCACTAACATTGTTATAAATACGAAGTAAGGGTGAATAACCTTTAATATCTTCAACTATGGCAATTTGATTTGGCAGTGTTCTCGACTCTGATAATTGAGCAGCAGTGAGGAAATCATTTTGACTTCTTGGATGATTCCGATCAGTATACGGATAGTAAACAAAACTTGTGTTTCTTGTTTCACCGTGTTGTTTACAATTGGTGCAACAAAAATATCCGTTAAACTGAGAAATCTTCCATTTCACTGCTCTACAAGGCAAATCATTTTTATCGCCCTGGCATCTGAACTTGAAGTAGAGTTTCTTTTTGTTGTCATCAACTAAAGTAATTTCTGTTCTCATTAATGAGATTAGATCTTCGATTAATGTACCATACATAAGTTCAATACTTGGTTGTTTCTTGCCAATATATAAACTCAAAAGAATTTTGTTTTTGGCTAAATCTCTGATCGATGGAGGAATTTCAAGGATTGTACCAGTGGTTAAATAGCAATTTTTATGTTTTGTCGTCATTAGGTCGATACCGTCACTGTGAAGTTGAAGACTGATGTAGAGAGAGTTTGTCGAAGTTTCACGTTTATAAATGTCTGCATTTAAGATATCATTTGGCAGTAATCGTTCTACTTCAGAAGGATAAGTTGTTATTAGATGTAAGTTACGTTGTGCTACATCAGAAATAGAAGATTTAAGATCGTTAATACACTGTTCTATCACTCCTTCTTCATTTCTTTCTTTGCTATTCAATTTACACGTGTTAGAACATACGTTTGATGTTAAATTAAGTTCATGAGTGCAGTTATTACATAGAGTTTTGTAAATAAATGGCTTATTTAATTGTTTCGAAAGTTTTCTACGGTTTAATTTGTTGTCTTTTGGTATCAATAAATAGATTAGATCGATTAGTTTTTTTTGTTGTAAATAATTTAATTTGCATTCAGCAATGTAATTACATATCGACGAGATTGCCTCTGAAACATGAATGTCTCCATTTTCATAGAGCAATGGGTCTACAACAATTTCTTCGTTAACAGACATAGATTCTTCTGAAACTGACACAGAAGAAGAAGTGGAGGAATCATCGTCTTCATCACTACTTTCATTTGATCCAGATGAATGTGATTGATTAATTATATCATCGTTCGTGAGATCGTTAACATGTTTGAATATGTCATCAGTGGAGTTAGCAGAGGAATTCACATTTGAAGCTGAGAGAAGTTCACGCAGACGAACACGATATTGCGTATATCTGGCAGAATCATTGTCTAATAATCACAGTTCAGATTAAAAATGGGAAAAAAAAATTAGTTCTGCACGTTTAGAGGTTTTATATTTTTTCATGCTCAAAACTTACTGTCACGGGTAAAAGCTGAGGCTAAGTTTTCGCACAAACTCATGTTAATTTAAGAGGTGAACGGTTCGCTGATCTATTGAAATTAGAAAAAAACGAATTAAAATTAACTATTTTGACATTACAAGCACAAAAATCGAAAGTAACACTCTTCGATTCAGTGAAATATCAGCTTAATAACTATTTTTTATGGAATAAAATAGTTAAAAATTCAAAAGTTTTCTTTATCACACTACGCATTTTGAAAGTAATTCTGTTACACTTTTAAAACGACAATTCAAAGATTTATTTTAATGAAAATTCCTGTGTTCAGACGCGTTTCGAATTGCTTAATTTCGGGTACGACATCGAAAAGGTACTCAGTTCATTAGCCACAACGAATAGGACTGGTTCCGCCCAAACAATGTGAGTTTCTTACCATAAGGAAACGCCTGTCCTCTGTGAATAACACATTCGCGCTCAGCCCTTCATCTGGAGTCCGGAGAACTAACGCTAGGTCTCACTCGTTATCCCGAAAGATACTCTGTGAATGAAGTGAGCTTTTTAATGCCCCGTTAAGGTAGCCCCGCTTCCTCGGTACGTACACAGAGCAGAGCAAGAATTTGCTCCCAAATGAAAGACTCAAAAGACAGGGCGAGCTTACTCCGAGGTAACTCACAGAGATGGACTTCTACGCAGCCTATTCTGGAACACTCTTAAAGCTTTTGCTCGTTCGATGTATGAAACTGCACAAATCCAAAAAGTGCGTTGAACTACTGGAAATTTAAACGAAACTCGGAAATGCCTTGAGCGATGAAATGAATGTAGTTTCTTCAGTGAGCAAAAACAAAAGCGTTAGTTGAAAATGCGCAGCGCAAACAAAAACTTACAAATTAATATTTATCTCGTTTTTCTCTTTTTGGAATAATTTGCTTGTTTCACTAACTAACTTATTAAATAGCTCAAATCCTACTTACATTGTCATAATACATCTTCAATACCTTGTGCAGAAACTTCACCAAATACACCAGTTGTCTATATGCCAAAGATTACTTCATATAACTATACTTGTCTAAACGATTTGTTGACTGACTGATGAGTTTGATTAAACTACAAACAAAAAGAGAAAAAACACAGTTAGCGAACGGCTTATTCTGTCAGGGACCAGAGCTGATCACATGTATTTTAAACTGACTGCAAGCTGCAGGCAGGTTGCAGGTGAATGAGAACTTTTTTCATTCACGGCCGGCAGATAAAGAAGAATGTTTTCCTGCTTGCAGGTCACTGCAGGGGAGAAAAAAAAGCGAGTAATTGGATGAGCTACGTAGGAAAAACCTCGAAACTGCCTTTTAAATCTGACAAGCACAAATGGGTTAAGAAAAATGTCAAAACGAACAGAAAGAGGCTCTTAAATGTGCAGAAAAACGAAAACTAAACTCTGAACAGAGCTCTGCACTCCGATAAAAAAACTAAAATATGACGAAAAAATACTAACGGTTTTCTTTTTCTTTTTTTTCTTCATTTTTATTTTCTTTGTTTATCTAACTCTGTTCAGTGCATTGCTGCACAGCGACATCCATCAGAGAATTTGAATTTTGTAGCTTTTACACCGGTTTCACGTTAAAAACGACAAATCCAAATAAAGATTATCACAGGAAACTGTTCTCTTCCTCAAAAACTTCAATTTTCGCTTTGATTCCAGCTAACGTACGACAAACACCGTGATTCGCGTCGCGACTAAGCAGATTTGAGATGTGAGTTTCGCGAAATTAAGACTCGCGACGCGATTGCGCGAGCTTTCAGCGATCGCGACGCGACACAGCGATAATTCAACGATCATGACGCGATTACTAAATCGCGTTGTGAGTCTTATAAACTCTGTTTTTCGGTGAGTAAGACTTTTATATGATCGCGACGCGAGTGTAAGAATTCATACCGATCGCGACGCGACAAAGTGATTTTATAGCGATCACGTCGCGACAAGTGCGAGTTCGTAGCGATCGCGCCGCGAATGAGGCGTGACAGTGGACCTGGGGCATCTATGTTAATCACACAATCTTATCATTGGCCTCATATGTCAAGAGATATAAAAAAGTACCCTTTTAGCTGTTAGTCATGAATCAAAGTAATATAATAGATAATCCTAATATAAATAATCTTTAATTTTCTGTTTTCTTTCTTTTAATAACGATAAGATATCTTGTTTAATTAACTCGATAATATTTAAGAAATAATCATCTTATGAATATGACGATACAAACTGTTGTTTAACTTCTGCTGATAGTGAAATTGATGTTATATTATTAACTACTGGTAATGCATTACGAGATGATGGATCAACATTATTATGTTTTTTTTGTGGATATAAATATGTGGCTGTCAAACTATCGTAATAGAAAGATTTTGGTCCTTTCTCGGTCCCATATCGGGAAGGTTATTTGACCCCGGACGCGAAAGCAGTTTTGCTTGTAAAACATGATAATATAAGCAAAGAACAAATCTTTATCATATCACTCGACAGTTTTGTAGCAGGGCGCCAATATTTTCGGTTCTGCCTATGTCTATTCTGCATAGATTCGAACTCTGCATATAAATAAAGACTATTAACCTCCTCCGGACGCCGCTGTTCCACATGAACACAATTAAACAATTTCACACCTTCTCACAAATACTGGTTGAGTGATGAAAAACATGACACAAAGTCGACACCTCCATCAGCAGCAACAAAAATATCCACAAAAACAGATGAAAATGCACAACCCGCATCAGAAGCTTCTCCTTCTTCACTTCAACTATCG